TAAGTGGTTCCCTGCTCCTACCGTCCAAACTTCCTATAGAGACTGGTTGGTGTCCCATTCCATACATGTGGAGGGGACGTCGTAAGGTTGCAAAGGATTTTCTTACGTGGCGTTCTTGTACTCCCAATAGCATTTACCAACCCAAAGACCTGAGAGAACACCTCCTGTGTTGGTTGTTGAGCAGACGCTGGATGACGGTCGGGCGAAGCCTGCTCAGGCACTTCACTCCTGACCGGAACTGGGGTTTCGAGTCCCTGCTTCGTAAATTCCGTTTGGTGGTGTTGTTCCGTCATAAATTCTTTTCTGTTTTCTGGCAGGGTTTTCTCCCTGTTAGAATGGTCCATCTTCTCGCTGGGTCGTCAACGAATATCCATATGGGTGTAAGATAAAAGAAACAGAGATGAAAGGCCCCTAGCGCTGGGATACCCTAATAGCATCGGGGTGGAAAAACAAAAGTTGGCCAAGAGAGGCCGACAGTTAGGTTTAAAGTCAGCCGCAATTTGAAAAGGGAAGAAAGCGACTGAGAAGGAAAAGAACCAGCCATACAGGATGATGACTGGGGGTGGTCCGCGGCGAAGCATTTCACGGGAATATTGAGGTGTTTTACTTCCTCTCACCCAGCTTATAGACATCGCTAACCAGTTCCCTCGCGAAAATGGCCGCTCCCCTATCCGTCACCCGGGAGACGCGCCTGGTAGTTAACCACCCCTGGGACCTGACCTGAGCTGAGCTGACCTGACCTGACCTGACCTGACCTGACCTGACCTGACCTGACCTGACCTGACCTGACCTGACCTGACCTGACCTGACCTGGCATGACCTGACCTGACCTGGGAGTTAATGAATTTACCTCCAGGAGGTAAAGAGGTAGAAAGACTATTCCGAACAAGTGGGTCTACAAGATAAAAACAAACGCCAATGGGTCAGTCGACAAGTTCGGGGCCAGATTGGTTATCAAAGGATTCAATCAGAAGAGGAGTAGGCTATGATCAGACCTTTGGTCCAGTCTCAAGAATGTCAACGAACATTGCTTAGCACAGTCGCCAATGTAGGCATAAAACTTACTCAGATCGACGTTTCCACAGCTTTCTTTATGGTGGCCTGGATGAAACAATTTATATGCAACAACCTGAGAACTATGGGGATAAATCTGGGAAAGTTTTCGTCTGAAGAAAAGTCTATATGTCTTAATCAACGCGTGACATTTTGTAGCGTTTACCGCCATTCGTCTGCGTTGGAAGAAGCTCGAGGACATGTGGATTAGCCGTTGGAGGTTTTGATCCGATTCCGTTAGAAGTACGACGTGGTCAGCAAAGACAAGGACGGAGCAGCGAACACCTGAGTTCATAGGGCAGTCCAGTTCCGTCGAAGAAAGCGTCTCGATCAACTCCTCGAGGACGATATTAAAGAGTATGATGCTCATAGGGTTCCCTTGCCTGACGCCTCTATTTGTGGGCACGGGCTCAAACGTTTCCTGTGGTGGGGATGCTGAGGTGGCCTCGATATAGTGGACCAAATAATCTGACAAGGCCTTCTTTTTAAGGGCTCTAATTATAGTGTGATGTCGAATGTCGAATGTCTTTTTTAGGTCAGTGCTCAATAAGGAGATGTGCGATCGTTGACCATCGGGTCCAAGGCAAGGGAGTTCGCCAACGTGCCATCCTTCCTGACGAATTCTCTTTGGTTCGCGAAACTATTTGAATATGCTTAAGCGTATCAGATTAACGGATGAGCCTGTATCTACAATAAAATCGATTAATTTGCTCTTTAACCCTTAAATGCATGAATTTTTATTTTCTTCAAAAAAAAAATGTAATCCGTTTACAAACTCGAGAACAATAATGAAAAAAATATTTAAAAAATTCTATCAAATATTTTTTATATGAAAAAACTAAAAAATGTGCATGTATCAAATGTGATACATTGTGCATCTAAATACAAAAATTCATTTCATATGATACGTTTTAAAACAATTCGATTTTTGATTGAAGCAGAGATTTACTCTACATTTGTTGCAATGCACATAAGTTAACCCTTTGCAGCCAGGAAATTTGCATCGTCCTCTGTTTTCTATCCATTCCGGCCAGTGGTCAATTTTGTCGGTCCTGACGTCGAGAGGCGGAATTATAGCAGCTGGATTTCTTTTTTTCTTTAGTTCCAGAGACTCTTGAATCCCTCCGCTTGGACGGCCTCTTTTGGCTGAAGATTTGCCTAATCTGCATAGGCACTGTGTGATTGCACTTCTAAATTTTTTTTGGTTAATCGGTTGTATTGTCTTTACTTTCACGCTTCTTTTATAAAGTAGCCAAGCATTGACCACAGTTAAATCCACCAAATGATAAAATATTCGCAGATACCATATCTTAGATTTCATTTTAATCCTGTGACGTCCAATGTGACTATTCAACGCGTCGACGCCACACATATGTTTATTGTAAATTTTTACTATTTGAGGGCAGTTTATTTCTATAGGTACAATACCGTTATTTTTAGTATTACATTGCACCAATCCAAGGTCATATACGTGTCCTTGCAAAAATGTTGATGACGTCATCAAAATATTGTGTAAAGTAAAAACTCAACTTGGAAATGCTGGACATGTTTCATTGTACTTCACGAGTGAGGGAAGTTCTGTCGAAACAATTTTCGACCAATTTATTATATTTAGGATACATTCATGCCTTATCATTATCATTACCCTTTTGTTTCCATTTTATTTATAGTATTGGTAATGTTAAATTTGTTAGTGTTAGTTACTCTGTAAGGCACGATTAAATGTATCAATTATGTTATTATTATTACTTTTAGGTAATATTTAGCTGCAATACAGAAAGTATTATTGATTAGTATTAAAACACATATTTTATTTTCATAAGAGTTCCTTAAATAGTATTAAGCTTCTATGAGTAAATTGTAGCTCTTTAGCTAAAATAAATACCTTATTATTATTATTTTTGAAAGAGTTTACATAAAGTCGCGATCTTTTCTATAGAACCACTCCCTAGTGTAAATTTTCAAAATTTGTTTGGTGTAAGTGACCTTGACGGGTTTCTGGGGGAAAACATATGTGTCAAAAATTTGACAGGTTAGATGGCCCCATTGTTAATGTAGATATTTTATTTTAATAAATAGATGAACAGAACATACAGTCTGCACGGGATACAGTGCGGCATAGCTGAGGGCAACCGAAACATTCGTGTTGTGCTCTTAGATCATATAATAAATAGATACCACCATGCCAAGTTCTTTCCCTAGCAGAGCCTGTGACGACATCCTCCTGTCACACATCTCTCTCGTGCATGAAGGGATTACAATGAAGCTATCCTTGCCTGATCACTATTTGAATTTTGCGCGCCTAAATTTTAGGAAGTATGTCTGAACTAACTTCGTACGAAAGATGTTGACAGCTTGATTTTATAAATAATTCACAGTAGATAATGAAAGGAATAGTAAATTATTGGGCAGCAATTGTGATCCTTTATGATTACATCACTTAAAATAGGATCTTTGTTCTAAATTCTAAAATTGTTTCTCGTACAAGAACTCGAAAGAGAGGTTAGAAGAAACATCTGTCAAAAGCGATTTGTTGCGCTGGTGCGGTACAAGAATGGAAGTGAAATAGACATATACAGATGAAATGCATATAACAAAGATGAAGATGTGGTGATCGCACAAGGATAGCATTATACTACTCCCCTTGACGTAGAAAACGACAACAGATAGCTTCATGTCTAGTCACACCTTTCAGTTTGAGTATTGGTATCTATTTATTATATGATCTAAGGTTGTGCTAGTTTCGATTGCCATTTCAACTACCGCTACCAACCGCGTTTGGCGTAAAGTATTATATGACAGGGCTACCAACTTGACTTTTTATCGAGTGGTTCCGTAGAAATGACCGCTACTGTAGTCAGTTTTAATAACTACGAGCATATCACGAAAGCACACAGAAGAAACAATATCCTAACTCAAGACGTACCGATTCCTCAATAAACATTTATCACTTTTTAAGATGAATAGAATAGAAATCATGCTTTTAGCAGTTTTCAAACTCCCGTTTTTTTAGTTTATTTGCAGGTGACATCAAACAAGAGCTTAGAATTTTGTTTGGGAGTAAAAATTAACACAGTTTTTCAGAGATCTCATGAAAATGTTAATTTTATGCAATAAGAAAGTATTACCTCCCGGTTACATACATTGTAACGTATGACTTGCATTCCAGCATAATATATTTTTAATAAAAATGATCATCCTTGAACGCACATTTCTTTGTTATTAACTTGAATATCTGTACTTGTTGTGTTCTTCTCTTATTTATTTCATAATATTTCCTAAACTAAATTTGCCTGTAGATGATTACTAAAAATAAATAAATTATGTGTAGATATGTATCTCAATGATAAACCAAGAATGTGTTTGTGTATAAAAAACCATTTAGTCAGAGCTAATGTAAAATAAATAAAAGCTTACCATACGATAATTTTTATATCCTACCAACTTTTGCTAAAACAGGATGTTGCGTGTACTTTATCGTCCAAAAAAACTTGATCACTTTCAGTAACGCAAGAGAAAGAATCAGCATGCTGTCTATAATTTTTTTACATATTTCTGTGTTTGTGAATTATTGCTATTCCTTTAATATTGATACAAATTACCCTATTGTCTATGAAGATCCCTCCAAATATTTGTTGCGTAGTGTAAACACATCTAGTTATTTTGGTTATTCACTTTGTGTTATATCCAGGAAAAAGAAGTAAACCTTGGTGAGTAACAGCATAAACTTGTAAAAAATGCACAAGATCATGTAGTGTTTAAACTCTATTAAAGGGTATTAATTGGTGCACCTAAAGGAATCGATGCTAACAAACGTACCAGTGGCGTTTGTTTTAAATGTGGAATTGCAGAAAGCTGCGAATTTTTTGACATAAATGGTAACTTGCATATTGATTGACTTTTAACACTTATTTAAGAATAGTACCTATTTGTATTTATCTTTATAGCTTATTCTTAGTCGGCACGTACAAATTACGAAGAGAGAATTGATAATGCATGGTTGGGTGGATCAATGGATATTAACTATGAATCCGAACGGATTGTAGTACGTATTTGAAATTTATTACTTAAAAAAAAGGATTTTAGCTAATTTACTTACGGGTTAATTTTTATAGACTTGCGCTCCAAGATGGATAAATGTACACAAGCAAGGTAATGATTACAACATGCAAGGTGCATGTTACTGGTTTCCTATTGGTGATAACAGTACCAAGAAACTTTTACCATTAATAGAACTTGGTGCGTATGACTCGCCATGTAATTATATTGAAAATAATAATGATTCCTTTTTTGAAGACATGGACACTTATCGAGATCCTACGACTGGAAAATCTGTTTACAATTTTGCTCAAGGACAGGCTGGATTTTCGGTCCATATGCCAGTTGTAAGTTCTAATTTTTTTTTCGGATATTTTTCTTAAGAAAGAGAAAGCAATGATTATGGGTGCTCCTGGTGTTTTCAACTGGCATGGAACGACAATCTTATACAAATATAACATTCAAACTCCTCCTGTTGCTAGTCGTCTGCAAAATGCTGGAACAAGCAGAAGATATGCAGATCCTAGTGAATTCAGTTATAAGAATATTGCCCGTGCACTTGATACAAAGCAAACTCTTGCCTTCGATTTGTTAGGTAATAAAAGTGAAAATTATTTGACATGTGTAACTAAATGTGGTTAGCATTTAGTAAATGAAACATGACAAAATTTTAGGTTATTCATCCACGTCCGGTTATTTCTATTCCAAAAAACTATTACTGTATGTTTCTAGCGCCCCCAGATCAGAATACAAAGGTCAAGTGAGTTGTAAAAATATAATTTTCAAATATGTATTAACATTTGTGTTACAGATTTTAATCTACGAATTCGCAAAACCTATAGGAACATCACTGATTGTCAAAGAAACCAAACACGGTCAACAATTTGGAGAATATTTTGGTAGTGCCATAACGGCTGGCGACATAAATAATGACGGATTAGATGATTTAATAGTTGGAGCTCCCTTTCACACAGCACAAAAATACAAAGGAAAAATATATATTTTAAACGGTATCACATTGTGGGGAAAAGCATCAATGGTCAATTCGGAACCACAGTACAGTACTTGGGTGACATAAATCATGACTCCTTTGGCGGTATGTAAATACTGATATACTTATATTTACACTTTTAATGTGGTATCTGTCTACTGATTCATTCGTATCGTGTTTTTGCACGTTCGTTTAAATGGTTGAGCACCATTTTGTTTTATACTTATACCTATCCATATTTTGGTGGTCCAGTATGTGTATAAATATGTACAAATAAATTTATATTAGCCTTTCAACCAACAAACAATGATTAGTTTCCCAGATATACCACAATTTTACAAAAAGATTATGACGTGCCAAAAAAAAACTAAATTGGATAAATGTTGTTTTATAATTTTAATTCTTTTTTTTTTCAAAAATCTGGACGTTTCGGGTAAAAACTCAATACTGAATCATAAACTACATAAGTACGACAATGTTATTTTATACAATTTAAAACCCATTTACTATGTACAATTTTAAAGTGACGTCATCACAATATTGGTGGGGATGATTAGACAAATCGGAGATTATCTGTCTAATAAAAATCCGGGACGGGAGACAGAAGGATAGACAGACAGACAGACGGAAACGGGAGACCTATTTCTTCGTACTGTAGGTGTCATGAAAGATTGAGAAAACGAGAGAGTCGGCCGACGAATTTGATTACAATACTTCCTTCGTTTACGCTCGGGAAGTAAAAAATATTTATGTAGTGATGAATCACAAGCATAGGCTTATCATATTTAAGACATACTAGAGAATCTATTTGGAAAAATTTTGAGCTGACGTCATTAATTTTTTGGAAGGAATAAGCAAATATATATTTTGTTTAAAAATGTCTTACGCTTATCATAACTTTAAAACATTGTAAGATTTCAAAGCATTAAATTGCAAAATGTTGTTATATGATCTGGAACGTTTCGGGAAAAACCAAGCATGGATTCATAAACTAAACGTCTAGAACCATGTTGATTCATACACCCTAAAACCTATTTACTACGTACACTTTTGAGGTGACGGCATCACATTGTTGGTGGGGATGACTACTCGGAACCTTAAAATTCTCGGCACGAAGTGCCTCATATTTCAATAGGGTTCCTCGTCAGTAATGATGCATTTTCCTGACTTTTATGTAAATAACTGTTTATAAATACCGTTGATAAATGAGTGAAAAAGTAACCAAGTTATTATTTTTTTTTACTTGTTTTCCAATTAAATTTTATTTAAAAATTTACTAATAAAATTGTACTGCATGGTTTTAGATGTAGCAGTGGCAGCACCTTATGAAGACGATAAAAGTGGTGTTGTAAGTATACGTATTTAGAGGTACTGCTGAAGGTTTAAAGTCTATGTCTTGTCAACGTATAGTAGGAAAGACTATATACCCAAATATAAGAGGATTTGGAATGAGTATTTCAAGAGCTGTGGATATAGATCTGAACCAATATCCAGGCACTAATCAAGACTATTTAATCTTATACAATTTAATTTTTTTCCTTTTAGACCTAGCAATAGGCGCGTATTTATCTGGTCATGTGGTTTTATTAAGATCTCGTCCAGTAATTACAATCAAGAACTTACATCTTTTGCGCAACATTTAGAATTTAATACAAAAAGTCTTGAAATAAGTGAATGTTATTGGTATCACCTAAATCAAACCTATCCTAGCAAAATTAGTATGTATTCTCAAAATAAACACAAAGTACCTTAAAATGAATATAATTTCATTCTCATAGGAATCAACAGAACTCTAACAATTAATCAACAGTTAGGCAGAACTTCTTTGGAAAATCGTAATTATATGCAAATAATAGACCTAAGTTCATATCAAATGACTTGCCAAAATTTCACAGTGAAACTGTCGGTAATTTTTAGTTGTGTAACCAGCCTAACAAGGCTGGGGCGTGAGTTATATAAAAAAAAAATAATATTTTTGAAAAATTAAATTATCTTTAAACGGGTAGCGTGTTTTTATCTCGTCTTCTACCTGAGAAGTGTTAATCGCACATCACAGAAAAATGGGAATTCTCTTACCTTTCGAAACTTCCCTTCTCGCTGCTCGAGGGCACGGAGTCACTCACTAGTACCGCTGTTTCAATGCACTATTATTTTAACGGAAGGGTAGGCCGCAAAGTCCGCAAAAAGAAAGTCCAACGTAGTTGAAAATCGGTCACCCTTATTTATTTACACACACTAATGAATTAATCAAAAATTTACACAAGAAAACCAAAATGAACAAGTGGATCACCGCTCGCGGTGACTTCCACAAATTTAGAAAATAAAACAAATAAAAATTTAACACTAAGACACTTTGAAGCAAAATTTAAAACAAAGAACGCGACGAGAAGGAACGAGTTGCACACTACAAAATCCCGGCCAGAGAACTGACAAAAATTGACTAAACTACTCTTTTATAATTTCGCCAAGAGTGGAGATTCCACCCGACGTCAAAGGGGCTAACAAAGAAAAACCAATGGGATGAAATCCCCTGTGTTGGAAAGAAGTGCTTTCTCGTTCTCTCTCGTCTATACCAGCAAAACCGCTCAAATCGCCGTCGATTTACATATTCTTATCAAAAATTCCTGACAATATCATTTACATTATACCATGAATCTATCGAACAGCTTTTTGGAGTGGCCACTGGCTCGCGACTTAACTAGGATGGCCAGACATAGATCTCGAACCCATCAAACGTTCTTTTACTTGTGACTCGGCTGTTTCTCACAGGTGGAACTGCAAACTTTATTCCACCTGTGGTAGGCCAGATCTATGTCCGTCATCCATCCGAATTTCCAACCTTTTGTTTTCTCAAAACATCTGTACACAATTATTTACAAAGTGAGGAATCGCATCACACCATTTCGATAACGGGATGTCTCAAACAAAGCCCTTCTCTGCCTCTGTCCCCATCCATCATGGTCGCTATAAAACTGTGCCGTTTCTTGAAATTCGACAAAAGGGCTAGGCACGCTTGAAACTCAATTTACTTTTTTAACGACTCCCTCGGAAAAGATCGGACATGTGGTACTATAAAGTTAACCCGAGGGTCCAGTGCCACATGCAGAGAGGATGGGATATAGCTAGATGGGACAAAGGAAGTATATGGATCTATTTGTTGGGATTTTCTGGGAAGGTTTGGAAAAAGTGATTTTTAAGGGGTCGTTAACAAGAATTTCGACCCATGATGAACAGCCGAGACAAATCAGCTCGCGGCAATGACCTTTTTTGGGATTGCACGTGCAGTCGTACAAATGCACTTGTTACAGTTGGATTTAAGATTTAAGTGAAAACAAATAACAACATTTTTTTAGACTTCATTTTCTAATCGTTACGATTCTGTAACGGTATCGTTGTCACATTCATTTATAAGTCGAGAAGAACATAAACAAATTTTATATGTGAATCAGGACCAGCAAGGAACTGATTTATTTTGCCCTAGGTGTCCCGTTTATGATATGAATAGATCGATATCTTCCAATACTTTAACAATACCATTTACACTAGGATGCACTGACAATATTTGCAGATCTCGTTTAAAAGTGACATCGAAATTCATTGGTTTAGAAGAGTAAGCTAAGAATAACAATATATTCACAGATTTATTAAAGTTGTTTTTAACACAGGGAAGATAAAACGTTTACACTAGGCGCCAAGAGTTATTTAACATTACAAATTGATATAAAAAATACTGAAGAAAAAGCATATTTAACTCAAGTACTGACTACAGTACCCGATTCTATTACATTCCGAAGTATTCCTTCAACTTGCATGGAAAAAAATTCGTCTTCTGTCATGTGCTTTGTCGATAATCCACTTGAGACCAACAGTCAGGTAATTTGTGTAATTACATTAAACCGTGAAAGACTTTTCCGTTCCAGAAATCGGTAAGTTTAGATCTAGATATGACTAGAATAAATAGCAGAATGTACGATGATTCGCTTACTTTCGTGATAGAGCTATTTACTAGTAGTGAAAATAACGGAGACAAAATAAAGAATCTGGTCCTTAAATTAAGACGTGAAGCTGATGTGATCATCACAGGGTAAGTTAAATTTTACATTACGTGCTAGTTGACAAAACTCTTTTACTAATTCAGAAAATCCGAAGAACATAGGTACTCATACCGAAACATATCTGAAGGTAAACCCCAATTTTTCGCAAATATATCAAGTTGAAAAATTTGGACGAAGTCCTTTGAATGAAATTGTTGTCGAAATAAACGTCCCTTATATGCTTAAATTCGAAGATGATAGAGAGATCACCTTTACTAGTTTGTACCCTCCGCTTAGAATTTTGGACGATCAAGATGTTACTTATACTAGCGATTTCCAATATATAACTGAATTCTATTCTGAAGGAATAGAGGACACGGCTTCCGAGAAAGAACACTCAAAGCGTTTTGTAAGACAAGTTCAAGTATTTAACAAATCAACAACCGCTAAGCAAAAACTGACCAAAGAAACTGAGTTAGAAAATTTGCAAAATCGAACGTAGTATGTTAACTGTAGCATGAACGAAGTTAGTTGCTTTAAAGTAATATGTACCGCGGGATCTTTAAAATCCGGACAAATAGTTACAATTAAGCTCGATATGGTTTTAGATATCGCTACTCTTAAAAGTAATTTCGAGTTTTAGGTTTTTTCAACAAATTTACGTTTGCTATTTTAGATTTATTAGGTAAAAAAGACGTTATTCTATTTGCTACTCACGGACACGTTGTGATCACAAATCCTAAAAACTTTATACAAAGCGGTAACGAGCAAGACAGGGTAGAAGTAGCTTCTCTCTTCATTGGAGTATCACAACGTGAAGATATTGCGTTATGGATCATTATTGCTTCTGCGATAGCGGGAGTAATACTTCTTACACTACTATTTGTCGTTTTAGTTAAAGTATGACCTTAAACTATAACAAGTGATTCAAACTTAAATGAATACATTTTTAGGCTGGATTTTTCAAAAGAACAACTAAAGAAGAATTAGAACAATTAAAGAAAGAGGTAAGGTTTGCGATTATATATATTCCTATTTGAGATTAAACTGATTTATCGTTATTGTAGATGGAATTAAGTGCAGGTGCAAATCACAATGAAAAGGAACAAGAAGATGAATAATGTCCATCATATTACTAATTATAATGAATGTTTTTGCTAGTACTAGTTACCTTAAAACTAACACATTATTAAAATATTTCTTGTTTTGATAATAAAGATAATTAAAAAAGTTTTTGTTTTTTCTGATAATAATAATTTATCACTATGATACACTTTTTCCATATCACACTACAGCGATGCTGAAGTCAAAAGTTTGGTACCGTGAACCGGTGCAATCAACATTTCCAACTTCCATATAGGTTTTGTGTGTGAACTCTATAAAATTTTTCTTCTTCAATCACATGACGCGCACAGACCAACAAGTCGGTGATATTTTGGAAACCTCTTCCCTAATAAGTGGTAACCTGATAATACTGATAACATTTGTGGTGTTTGCGGTGAACTTCGTTGTGGTATTATTTCGCTTTATGAGAGCTATTAGTTCTGACCAAATTAGCTCAATCGGATTAAAAACACCATGATATAGAGATAGTCGTAATATTCTTTGCCCTCGTTCTTCAGCTATGCAATCAATTCTGAATGTTTTGTTATGGTCTTTAGTTCCTAACACTTCAAGTAGTTGTTTTTTTGTGTAAGATTCTTCGTAGTACAAATCATTTGCCATAAGGAAGTTTTTTATTTCTTTCTTATTTGACGACGTGTTTGGGATTTTTTGCTTCTGTGCTGAATGGTATGAGGTGTTATCTAATAAAAACACTGTATTTGGTGACAATTTTGGGAGAAGTTTGTTTTTGAACCAATTTAATACATCAGCGGTCATATTTTCGTGGTAATCGACGATTGTTTACTTCATATTTGCAGCAGATAAGAACAGCCCATCATCTATCCTGGTACACTGGTACATCTAATACATATTTGTTGCTTTTATCTAGTGATGTGAGTAAAAAAAAAAATTTGTTTTATTGGTTTTAAAACACATTTTTTTTTTGTTTTTAAACATAGGGTAGGTTTCATTTTGTTTTTTTCTTAAACAACTTTAAATTTTCTTTCTTTTATTCCCGTCAGTTTTTATGAATTTTTGTTTTTTCTGGTAACATACAACTAATAAATAAGTTACCGTTTATTTGTAATACATAATACGAGTATGTACTATGGCACGCAAAAGTATTGTCTGTACCCAGCAGCGAGGGGTATTAATTTCCTCCGCCTCCTCTCTGTGGGTTGTCATAATCCCCTAAACGCACAGGTAGAATAATATGGACAAGAACTAAAGTTTCCTTGCTGACTACAGAAATTGATTATACAATAGTTGTAGTGTCACACAATAAAATATTTTAAACTCGGAAAGTATTTTTCTTAATATAAAAATGAAAAAAAAAGTACTCTAGTGTATGATTTAAAATATTATTTCATAAAGCTGGTTGACAGCATGCCCAACAGATTAAGACAACTTTTTATCATCTTTGGAATTTGACTAGGTTGTGTGTTAAGATTAAATTGTTTTGTTTTATTTATTTTTTTTAATAATAATAACTAGCCTCTCCTTTGCGTTGAGGAAACAAAATCATTAAAATAATAAAATTTCATTTTCTTTTAACGCAGATGGGTGTTATCGGAACGTGTTAATAGTCGAATTCATTAACAGTCCAAGTTAAGTATGCACTGAAAAATTGGGATTTCATTTTTTCCTGTTAGCCATCTACTTTAAATATAATTCAAACAAAAACCGCATAATCAAATTTTATATTTTTTTAAACAAACGGGAAATAAATTTTCGGTGTAACAGTATACACTCTACCCGAAGTTATTGCGAAATGTCAGATATTTGGAAAAGAACTAATCTGCAACAAATTATTATTAATATTAAGCAATGAAGAAGAAAACGAACGTTAAAAAAGAGAATCAAAAAACTAATTAAATAACTGGCAGCAGATTTCGTTATTTGAACAGACACCAGATAATTTTTATATATTTCATTCCGAGGTTTCGACTTGTATTATTTCCGAATTGTCAATATTCGTCAGTTTATTCGATTTCTCATTTTGAACTGGAAGGGTTGAAATGGCATGGGTGAAAGCGGTTTTCCCACAGGATGTTAAAAACCGAACTCTGACTAATCTGTATTTGTCTTGTGATCTGCCGTTGGCTCAGGTGAGGATTATCTTCTATAATTTCAACCATGGCAGGTTCATTTTCTGACGTTGTTACTGCAGGACGTTTGACTTTAGTTTTCTTAAATTGATCAACTTTTCTTTTTCGAGTCTTCTCAATGCTTGGTTAGTTAGAAGGAATTGTATCGCTTGGCATGTAGATGAACGGCGACATCGAAATTTCAATTAGACTTTCCCAAAATTAAAAGTATACCGGTTTTTTCGGAATGCGAAAGCACTGTTACCAAAAGTTGAAAATAATTTGACTGTTAAGTAGAAATAATTTGTCGTAATTTTGGCGCAATCATTGCCATCTACACGTTATTTATTATTTATAAAAATTTAAAACGAACTCGTTTATGGAAAATAAAATGGGCTATCCAGGCGTGAACAGTCTAAAAATAATTATCCTCTGTTGCTGATATTTTCAAATCTCTTTATTTCTAGCTTCTTGTGATTCCTCTGTCAACTGTCCACTAGGAAGCAAAGATGATGAAATAATAATGATTCTATGAATGATAACAACGAATTTTTTTATTAAGATTTATTACTTCCCGAGCGTAAGCTAAGGAAGTATAGTAAGCGAGTCCATTGGACGAATTGACATTTCATGACCCCTACATATAGAATTCTTTTGAAGTTGACAAAATTTACACCACTATAATAATGATGGGTGGCCTTTTCCATTCGTGCATGGTGTATAACTTGTGGGGCTCACCAAGTGTGCTGTCTTGACCCTCGACGTCGTGCCACGAGGTCCGGTCCGAGTCCCCAACCACGGCAGGGGAACTCCCCGGTGATGGTGGCGTGGTGACGGACGGAGTCGTGGCGTTGTTCGGGGGTGGGAGCGTGAGTGCGACGACCACGCTATGGCTTATCTCTCGGTTGTTGGTGGCGTTGGTTTTTGTGGGCTTTTTTCTTACCCTTATCGCTGATAGGCTGTCTTCATTGATGTGTCGCGTCCGTTTTGGCGAATTTCTGGTATTTGCCTTGGATAACTGCCTGGAGGTCGCCAACGGCCGTCTCTTCTCCTGTCCATCTGGTCCTGGTTCCAGAGGGCTTGTTACGGGAATGCTTCCAGGAGTTTGCGGTAGCATTTCTTCCGGTTGGTCCTTGTTAGTCCGGATTTCCGGTTTTGGAAATCGGTGTCTCATTCGTCTTACCGGTCGGCGGTTTTCTTTGTTTTCCTCGTCGTATTGGCCGGGTGTTGTTTCTTCTACGAGTTGTTGGGTGTTTTGCGTAGGGGCGGAGATCACCGCATCATCGTGCACTTTTTTAATATGGAATTTAATCTGCTTGATCGTGCCTTTTTGATTTTGACAAGATACCCAGGTGAAGTGGATATGCTTGTTGAGCCATTTCTTCAGGTGTTTGTTCAGGTCGTTGTGGCTCCCGTAGGATCGTGACGGACGGGTGTCGTAGATGGTCGGGAAAAGTAAAGTCACTAGATAGATTAAGTATCGCAATGCTCCTCCATTTTGGGGCAAAAAAAGCGGTAAATTTAAATGTTATTTATCTGAAATCTAAATTTTTCAAAGAATGCAAAAATATTTAGCCAAGAGGGCTATATACTTTGGCATATAGTGAAAATAACAGACATCAACATATTATATTATGGGAGGTAAATGCTGAGAAGGTAATTATTTTTTAAACAAACAAAAATTGGAAATTTCCAAAGTTACCAGGTTTTGGGAGAACAAGAATATAAAAAGGGCTGGGAAATACGTAATGCAACTAACAATAAACTAATTATTATTTATTATTATACACGTGCTATACACCACAGAACTCAATTTATGTGACGTAGCAGAGAATGCGTCCTTGAAGCACTTCTACCAGTAAACTTTTAGTAATGTACAAAACACACTGTAAGGATCCAATTCGAATTTTAAATTTCAAATGAATTTCGCGCGCACAAGAAACGATTGGTAAGAAGAAGAGGTTGGCAACCTCTCACACCAAGAGAGAGACATGCGCGAAGTTGTTGGGGGTGGTTTTGTTTTCTGGTAAAATGAGTCACTTCCCACTGACCGCTTCGAACAAACGGTCGACTTCCTTTTGATCGCTTCGAGAGAACACACCACTTCCTTCGAGCGCTTCGAGCAACAGGTTGTATTTTTATCTGTGAGTTATTCTGTGCCTTTTGCTGTTGTTTTTGCGTTTCCATTGTTGATCCGTTCCATTGGAAAACCTAGCAGCCCCTGTTGAACCATTGGGTGTTCCTGACTTCTCATCGTTCTTACGACGAGGTTTTTGTGTTCCTTTTGGCGGTAAGCCGTGTCGAAATCTTCGCATCTTTGGAGAGGTATGTTTTGACCGCGTTTTGGACTGGGTCCTGTTTCGCGGCGATACTTCTGACCTCGTGACTCAGCGACGCGTGCGCTTTTTTTTTTCCACTAATCTCGTTTTTTTATCTTTCATTTAAAATCCATCGCAGTAGGGCTTTACAGGAAGTGATTTTTAGTTCGGGCCATGCTTTATTTAGCTATCTTTGTGAAATCTGTATTTTGGATGGCGGCAAACGAGTTGTTATTCTCACCGTTCTTTGTTCAGGCAGCGGCCATTTTGAAGCGTCCATTTGTTTCTTTTAATCGAGCACATGTTTTAACTGAATCTATTGAACAAAATAACAACATTGTGGGTCATGGGGGGACGTGCCTTTATTCTTTGGATTTAGCACATCGTTTATACAACGCCACAGGATTCATCGTATTTTTGCATCGCATATTTTCGACGCCTATTATTTGGAATGACGAATTCGTCCAACGCCATTTTGCAACTGCAGATTGTCTGCCATGTTTGTTTATGTGTTTTGTTTGAGGAAATGTATGTGTAATAATGGCCCACAATGTAGCTGAATATTTTCACGTTTTGAGTTTTAACCAATAACTTGACTGGACACGAATTAATATTAATCACATGTAAATCTGTTAACTTTACAATCTTTCACCTCATGCAATTTGTCTTTGTCTCACAATTTTAGCTTCAGTAATTTTCTTTGCTGTATAATTTGAATTGAACGTAAATTTCCATGCTCTGCAGTCTTGACCTAACATGATATTTTATTTGCACAAGTCTATTTCACACCAGATCTTTGTTTTATAAATCTTTGCTAAGTTTTGATCATGTAAATATTTTGTTGATGAATATTTCTATCATGTAAATTATCTGATGTCCAAATTTAATCTCAATTAAGAATTATTTGTTGTTGAATTTCCGTAAGAGTGTGTGGCGAATTTAAATGTTGTGTATTGCTCTTTGTTGAAACTTTAACGTTTGTTCGGTTGTCATTTAATATTAGAGTCATAGAGTTTGAACATTTAAATGGAATTGAAGGTAAATAACACATAACTCGTAGTGTACGTGGGGCGCGCGACTCCTTCTCAAACTGACGGGATTAATCGCGTCACCTGCGCAAGTCCGCGGGTCTTGTATAGCTTCAGGGTGCGATCGCGGGTTTTTAACGCTGCCGGTTTCGTGATAGCCGGGACCCCACTACGGATCTGCGATCGTAACCGCCTCGTTTCGCAGGGCACGTTCGTAATGGAGATGTGCGTGTGAGCAGGCTTTGGTGTAGATAGAATCACCGTCGTGGGGGAGAACAGTGACGATCAGGAGTCCCAACCTCTACTTGCGCTACAACGCCCCCTCTGGGTATTTTGCTGTGCTC